AAGAAAGGCGTAAAAGAGCAAAAGAAAGGCAACAAAAACTTATGGCAGAATTTGCCAATAAACAAAAACAATTTATGGAAAAAGCAATGAAAACGGGTAAGATTTATCCTTCAAAAACAAAGAAAGATTATTTTCTTGCAATTAATATTCATGAAATATTATGACATGAAATTGTTCTATCTTATTTATTATTATTCTTTCATATTCATATTAAATATACAGATGAAGCAGGTGTATCAGGAATGGATTGGGATCAAGAGGATGATACAACAAAATTGACTAGACAAAAGGAATATGATTGTGTAATATGTAATCAAACTACACCAAGTAGTGAAGACAAACCCATGGGTCTAGTTGTACTAGTACAGGTAATGTATGATATATAAATTTCTTTATTAAATTTTTTATTATTGAATATATATATAATACGAAAGGATCTTCTTCATTTAATATTAATTTAATTATAGGCAACTAGTGTTATTGGTCACGGCAGAAAACGATTAGACAGACTTATTTTGCCTACATCTGATGAAGATCCACCTATACCAAAAGGTGACACACATGGTGCTCATTTTGATCATAGAATAGATGAATTAAATCGACATTTCGATACGGTAAATCATTTGAAGTGTGTATATAAATTTAAAAATAAAAAACATTATAATATAAATTTAATTTAAATATTACAGTTTTCATGGTTACTATCTGTTAATTTGGGTTGGGAAGGAGGTGTTCATGTACAGACATGTGGTCATCATTTACATTTAGATTGTTTAAAATCTTATTTGCAATCATTACAAAGTCAACAAAGGCAACCAAGTCTAGCAGTTGATACAGGCGAATATTTCTGCCCGCTTTGTCGACAATTAGCTAACTCAGTTTTGCCATTATCACCTCAATTAGGAGAATGTGCAGCAGTAGTACGATCTTATCAAGCCTCTCCAGCAATAATACTTTCAGAATTAAATAATCTTTTAAAAGAGATACAACGAAATCCAGTAAGTGTTAATTTATTATAAGTTTTTTTATAGAAATTTTCGGTAAATTTAACATCTTTAATAATCATTCCATAATTTTAGGTCTCATCAAATTTAGCTGTAGCAATGGGAAAAGCCATGGAAGATATGACAAGTTGCACATATTTAAAATATAAGCAAAAGAACTGTTCTCCTAGTCACCAAAGCTTGTTCCTTTTTGTAACTTCTATAGCCAGAACTAATTTTGAGGTTGAACTCGTACAACGTGGTGGATCGTTATATGTTCCTTCGCCTAATTCTATACCTTTAACACCAAAACGTGATTGTATTGGTATGATTGGTTGATAATATTCATTATTTTTTAAAAATAGCTCCATATAAACGTATTATACAATTATGTACTATTTATATATCTTCTTAATTATCGCCTACTGTAATTCCAGTTGCTCTACTTCATGTTCTTGCAATGCACGCAAAAGTACTAACAACATGGCCAGTACATCATACTTGGCAGCAACTATCAGGCATACCTGCAGAACCATGTGCACCACTTGCATTAACGCCACATGAAAGAGAAGTTCCATTGTTACTCAGAGATCCAACTGCTCTTCTTATACAATTTATATTACTACTTCCACTACACTTGGATCAAGGTAAATTGTATAAAACCATATTGCATAATTTTTTCATCTTATTATATTGTAATTAATTTTCAGCTTACTTCTCGAGCGTTGTGAAAGTTATATACAACTTGCTATACTATCAAGTCATAGTGCAGATAAGCTGTGATCTTTTACAAGCAGAAAGAAATACAATTTTAAGAAGAGGCCAGTGTGGTGAATGTACCGCCACTTCTTTAGAGATTATATTGTGCAGAGTAATTGAGTATTTTAGTGACAGTGATCTTTATCGTACAGACGAAGCTATTCATAAACCATCAACTTCATCTTCTGTATCTTATGCCAGAGTTAAAACACATTGGATTGAACGACAGGTAAGTTGGGAACATTATTTAAAAATATTATACATTATTATACAATTATTTAAAAACATAGATACATTTGAATTTGGTTCTTTTCATATTTATCATGTTTCTTTCAGATACAGTCTTTATGCTTACCATTTTTAAGAGTGGCTGCATTACTCCGTTATCATCTATATGAACAACCATTGCCTTTTGTTAGGTCACGCCAATTTGAATTTGTCAAATTAGTGTATTATTTAGAATTAGTGGCAGAAGGTATGGATTGGGATAATTTCAATTCAACAGTGGCACTAAATTGGCAAGATGTAGATGCAAGTATTTCGGTTCCTCGTTTATGGTGCGATCAGTTACTTGCTTTTGTTAATAGAAGTGATGCAGCTAGAAATTTAATAAAGGAACAGCATGTATCTTGGCAAATACCAAAACTGCTCAATCTTCCAAGAGAATATGAAAAAATCTTTACGGTAAATAATATGCATCTGTAATGTATTATATTATTATTTTTTGTTTCTGTGAATTCATAAATTAATAATTTCTTTTTTAGTATTATCATGAACGGCAATGTCGTCAATGTCATTCAGTTCCTCAGGAAATTAGTATTTGTTTATTATGTGGTGCTATCGTTTGCCTAAAGCAGAATTGTTGTAAACAGATGAATGTGTGTGAAGCTGTTCAGGTATATTTATTTTTATTTTCTTAACTGATATTATTATCAATTAGCACTAAAACGATCATATGATTTTTTAAATTCACATATATAAATACTTATTTATAGCATTCAATTGATTGTGGCGGCGGAACTGGCATATATTTAGTGGTAACATCAACTTATATTATTGTAATTAGAGGTCGAAGAGCTTGTCCATGGGGATCTTTATATCTTGATGCATTTGCAGAAGAAGACAGAGATCTAAAGTAAGTATTAATGTAGATAATTTTATTATTTTTTAGTACTTTTTGAGATTTTATTATACATTTTACTTAGATACTTTTCTAAATAATTTAATTGTATCTTTATAATTGCCATAAAGTAAAGTTAAATTTTTCTCAGTTATGTAGTTTGTGGTAATAATATATATAAACATTTTATAAAGGTTTATTTAAAAAGTTAATATAATATAATTTATCCTTATTTTTATAGACGAGGTAAGCCTTTGTATCTTAGCCAAGATAGGTATCGATTATTGGAACAGCAATGGCTAGCTCATAGATTTGATCACACGAAAAAAACATGGGTCTGGCATCGTGATTCTCTGTGACCTTCCATAGTACTGAATGCTCATAAATTTGAAATGAAGTCAAGACTCATTTAACTTGTTTATTATTATGCAATTTCTCGTTAACGATAACAGCGCTTAATGAATAAACAGGTTGTTCAAATACTTTACGAATATTATATTTATTATGATGCAATTGATAAGTAGGCATGACAATGAATGAAAGTATTATCCTACAATGGACACTGAACTAAATTGTCTATAGTCACAATTCTTGAATAATTATATCGAAGGCGTATGTTTGAAATCGACCATTGTATATTTTATTTAAATATATATAAATATTATGTCCTAATAAGAGGAGAGTACTTATCTAGCATCTAGTGTTTGTACTTTATAGAAGATGGATAAAATTTTAAGTGACAATAGCAATTTAGAAAAGAAGATAAATATTAAAATTTGTCCGAATAATTATTTGTGCAAACAAATTATGAAATGTTTAATTAATAAGACTTATATTTGCATCTTCTTGGTTATAATATTCATAGGCAAATCTATTACATTTGACTTCTCTAAATGCAATGCATGTTTTCCGAATCATATTATTGGACTAATATATAAATAAATTTGATATAAGCTAGATTAATATTACGAATACATTTTATATTTGGTTATATCATAAAGAATATAAATCATTGAGTTTTTCCAAATTAATGATAAAGAACATAAGAAACAAAACATTCTAAAATGTATTGTGTTATAAACGCGATGAAATTAAAAATTAATGTCTTTTCTTTAGGTATTTTTTATAGTTTATATACATTATAATTGATACTATCAAAATTAATTATTTTATATTGGATATATACAAATGAAAAAATTAATTTGATAATTTAAATATAATTCTATGGTTGAAGGTATAGTTTAACTTTTGTAAGAGAATTGATTTATTTAAAAAGTTTCTCTTATTAATTTTGTATTTTGAAGATTTACTGAGAAATGTTGTTGTTTATTCACTTATTAATTTAATATTGTGTCTTATATCGGATTGTTAAGAATTGTTTAATTTTTATTATGTAATAAAAAAATATAATCATAATTTATAATATAATAGGTTTCTTGTTTAAGATGCAGATAAGAAAGAATGTAACAATAAATAATGATTATTATAAATATTTGTTTGCGCAATAATAATTTGCTTCATATTGATGATTCAATGAAAATTAATGTAAAATTTAAATTATAATTAGAAATATATTAATATATGTCAGAAAAGAAACGTTATAAGAACGATACCTTACATTAAACTTAGTGATCAATATGTGTATACGGTATTTTTACGATAATAAGAATCCTAACACTGAGATAAATAACATATACAAATGATTTGCTGATTAAAGTGCTGCGTAGTGCTGTTACTATAAGAATTGCTTCTTTTACAATAGATATTCATAATCTGTAAATATGTAATAATTATAGGATATTGCATATTGCATTATTAGTCAATGCTCAAAATCAGATGATCTGTACATAATTAATAATTATTTTTAGGAATCTTTCTGCTTATAATATAAGAATATACAATAAAGCATTATACAAAAAACTGAAAATTTATTAGTAATGGCAATTATAAATCATGTTTAATGTATAAATACAAATGATTCTATTAAAAATACTAACATTTATTATTTTATCCTTTCAATGTTTCTTTACAACAGTTCTAATAATATAGCGAAAAAATATTTTATCGATTAAACTTATAATTACAAAAAATGAACAAGTGTTAAAGAAAGGATTTTAAATAAATACACGAAAACCTAATAACTTGCCAAAAAATAGTACTTATTTTTATTATATAATTTATCAAGATTCAGACGAAAAATGTGCATGATGTATTACAAATACAGAATTAAGAAAACATTATAATATAAGGTTTATTTTTATGAAGAGGTATCAGCACTTCCATGCTATTATTTTGTATTCCTTTTTGAATGAGTGTGAAAAGAAAATAAAGACAAAAATTATTCATTCTTTAGTGTGCTGACTACTGGAACTGCTTGAACGTGAATGTCGTTTAAATTTTGGTTGATCTACAGAGTCAGAAACATTCTGATTCTTCTTTGGTTTATCCCTATTAAAATAAGATGTATTTCCATCTGTATCATGTTGTGTATTAGATGTACCTCTCCTGTAATCGTTGCGTCTATCATAATATCTATAATTATCTCTGCCAAATCTGTTCGTTCTGTATGAATCACGCCTACGAGGAGAATAATTTCTCCTACTTCTTCTATCACGACTAGATCTGCGATCATAATCTCTATCTCTCGATCTCTGACGACCTCTTGATCTAGAGCGTCTACTGCTACGTCTCTTGGTTCTATCTCTCGAATCGTATCTATCGCATCGATTCGTTTCATGTTTGATAGACTTCTCATTTTTACGTTTTGTATCTACTTTATCATTTGATGTAATTTCATTAATATCCAAATTTTTATTTACATTATCTTCGTTCTCTTGTACGCTTTTATTTGTAGTATTTTTTTCTTCTGTTTGATCATTTTCTTTATTTTCCAATTGTTCGGGTATACACGCGCTACTTTCAAATTTTTCCATTAAATAATTATCTTTATCAACTCGCTCTTCAAACTTATCTATTTTATCATCTTCGGATTTGCCTCCTTCTTCTTCCTTTTTTAATCGTTCCTTTTCCAATTTCTAAAAACAAGATTTGAATAAACGTAACAATTTATCTATATTAAATGTTATAGTTTTGAAACATACCTGAAATTCATGTAATTTAATAGTACGATTTTGTGCTTGTTTCCAATGTGGTGGAGTTACACTTCTAGAGCGGCTTCGCGAAGGAGTGTGATAACGCTGGAATTTGTAAAAATTAAAAATAGTAATTTATGATGTATTACTTTTTAAATTTATTTCATGATGAAATTGACATTAAGTCCCTTTACACAAATATTCAATCATTTTAAAAGTCTTCTTACAGATGTACCCATTCATTTATGTACTACTATAGATGTAAAAAAAGAAATCGTATATCGTTTGCCTAATTTGTAGATTAGTAACATAAAACAGATTATTAAAAAAAGTGACATGAGATAAATCATTATATTTTTACTTTTAAAATAAAAAGATCACGAATACTTACAAATACACCTCGTCCTTTAAAGACACGTCCAGTTTTTCTACGTAATCGTATACGTTCCCTGCCAAAATGTTGTCGAAATTCCTTTTGATTAGCATTATTTGTAGGTCCTGCCCTATATAAAAATTTATTTGCAGGAACCTCAGGTATCTCATCAGGATCAATTTTTGTAACAGATACAAGTGGATGAGGCTTCTCATTTTCATCTTCGTTTGAATCATGAATTTCACCATCTTCTGATTTAGCCCTTTTCTTACTAATGTGTAATATAAGCATATAATATACGAAATATAAAAGAGTCATGTTATATTACAATAATAACGAGAATAATTTTAATTTTTTTATACCTCTTCTTATTTCTTTTTTTTTTGCTTTTCTCTGCATGAGAATCTGAATCTGATTCTGAAGAGCTACGCTTTGATTCGTGTTTTTTTCCTACAAACAAATTAATTTATTTAAGAATTATTATACTAAATATTCTTTTTTATATCCCCCATATATCACCTAAAATTGAAAATTTCATAAAAATTCATATTACTGACCTTTACTTTTAGTTTTCAATACTAATTCTCCACAATTTACAACCTTAGCATCCTGCAATGGACGAGACATACGATCAACAGGTAAACCCTCAATGTGCATAACAACTTCCTGGCCAGACACTACTTCTCCAAAAACGACGTGGACACTATTTTATGAGAATTCCATTAAAAATCTATACAATATCAATTTAATTATTTATTTTATTATTTACTCACTTGTCGAGGTGAGGCGCTGGTTGTGTTGTACTACAACAACAAAATATGATTAAGGTGATGAGAGATGAACAGAAAGAGCCAGCGTTCAGTGGTCATTGTGTTGTAGTAGTGGTGTGCAGACCCTTCCCTCATGACTACACAAAAACATGGCTATAGTTATTCATTCTTTCACATTTAATATTATTACTATTCTTTTCAAGATTCTCTGCAAGTCCTATGTGTAATAATGAATGTTCCAAATACATTTTAGTGGAACAAGATAAGTAGTATGATAAAACTTAAAATTAAAAACGTCTATTTAAGTTTTATTCGCTTTATACTATGTAGCATTACTTTTTATAAACATAACAATTCGCCCAGCTATTTGTATTTAATTTCACTCCCTTTTTTGGATATCTAGTATCACCACTATCAACTAATATAGATAATAATTTCTTAATTATATAAAATATCATATAAATTGTTATTAAAATTGTTATATAAAACTAATAGTAACATGCAAAAATAATCTTAATAAATAAAAAAACAAAAATACACTATATGTATGAAGAACTTTTTTGATACATTTATAGAACTAGTATAATACAGAATGATAAGAACTATATTTCTTTTTTAATTACTTGATAAAGTAGTATATGTCATCTATTGGCGGATGCAACCCTGACGCAACCCTGACGCAACCCTGACGCAACCCTGACGCAACCCTGACGCAACCCTGACGCAACCCTGACGCAACCCTGACGCAACCCTGACGCAACCCTGACGCAACCCTGACGCAACCCTGACGCAACCCTGACGCAACCCTGACGCAACCCTGACGCAACCCTGACGCAACCCTGACGCAACCCTGACGCAACCTGACGCAACCCTGACGCAACCCTGACGCAACCCTGACGCAACCCTGACGCAACCCTGACGCAACCCTGACGCAACCCTGACGCAACCCTGACGCAACCCTGACGCAACCCTGACGCAACCCTGACGCAACCCTGACGCAACCCTGACGCAACCCTGACGCAACCCTGACGCAACCCTGACGCAACCCTGACGCAACCCTGACGCAACCCTGACGCAACCCTGACGCAACCCTGACGCAACCCTGACGCAACCCTGACGCAACCCTGACGCAACCCTGACGCAACCCTGACGCAACCCTGACGCAACCCTGACGCAACCCTGACGCAACCCTGACGCAACCCTGACGCAACCCTGACGCAACCCTGACGCAACCCTGACGCAACCCTGACGCAACCCTGACGCAACCCTGACGCAACCCTGACGCAACCCTGACGCAACCCTGACGCAACCCTGACGCAACCCTGACGCAACCCTGACGCAACCCTGACGCAACCCTGACGCAACCCTGACGCAACCCTGACGCAACCCTGACGCAACCCTGACGCAACCCTGACGCAACCCTGACGCAACCCTGACGCAACCCTGACGCAACCCTGACGCAACCCTGACGCAACCCTGACGCAACCCTGACGCAACCCTGACGCAACCCTGACGCAACCCTGACGCAACCCTGACGCAACCCTGACGCAACCCTGACGCAACCCTGACGCAACCCTGACGCAACCCTGACGCAACCCTGACGCAACCCTGACGCAACCCTGACGCAACCCTGACGCAACCCTGACGCAACCCTGACGCAACCCTGACGCAACCCTGACGCAACCCTGACGCAACCCTGACGCAACCCTGACGCAACCCTGACGCAACCCTGACGCAACCCTGACGCAACCCTGACGCAACCCTGACGCAACCCTGACGCAACCCTGACGCAACCCTGACGCAACCCTGACGCAACCCTGACGCAACCCTGACGCAACCCTGACGCAACCCTGACGCAACCCTGACGCAACCCTGACGCAACCCTGACGCAACCCTGACGCAACCCTGACGCAACCCTGACGCAACCCTGACGCAACCCTGACGCAACCCTGACGCAACCCTGACGCAACCCTGACGCAACCCTGACGCAACCCTGACGCAACCCTGACGCAACCCTGACGCAACCCTGACGCAACCCTGACGCAACCCTGACGCAACCCTGACGCAACCCTGACGCAACCCTGACGCAACCCTGACGCAACCCTGACGCAACCCTGACGCAACCCTGACGCAACCCTGACGCAACCCTGACGCAACCCTGACGCAACCCTGACGCAACCCTGACGCAACCCTGACGCAACCCTGACGCAACCCTGACGCAACCCTGACGCAACCCTGACGCAACCCTGACGCAACCCTGACGCAACCCTGACGCAACCCTGACGCAACCCTGACGCAACCCTGACGCAACCCTGACGCAACCCTGACGCAACCCTGACGCAACCCTGACGCAACCCTGACGCAACCCTGACGCAACCCTGACGCAACCCTGACGCAACCCTGACGCAACCCTGACGCAACCCTGACGCAACCCTGACGCAACCCTGACGCAACCCTGACGCAACCCTGACGCAACCCTGACGCAACCCTGACGCAACCCTGACGCAACCCTGACGCAACCCTGACGCAACCCTGACGCAACCCTGACGCAACCCTGACGCAACCCTGACGCAACCCTGACGCAACCCTGACGCAACCCTGACGCAACCCTGACGCAACCCTGACGCAACCCTGACGCAACCCTGACGCAACCTGACGCAACCCTGACGCAACCCTGACGCAACCCTGACGCAACCCTGACGCACAACCCTGACGCAACCCTGACGCAACCCCCTGACGCAACCCTGACGCAACCCTGACGCAACCCTGACGCAACCCTGACGCAACCCTGACGCAACCCTGACGCAACCCTGACGCAACCCTGACGCAACCCTGACGCAACCCTGACGCAACCCTGACGCAACCCTGACGCAACCCTGACGCAACCCTGACGCAACCCTGACGCAACCCTGACGCAACCCTGACGCAACCCTGACGCAACCCTGACGCAACCCTGACGCAACCCTGACGCAACCCTGACGCAACCCTGACGCAACCCTGACGCAACCCTGACGCAACCCTGACGCAACCCTGACGCAACCCTGACGCAACCCTGACGCAACCCTGACGCAACCCTGACGCAACCCTGACGCAACCCTGACGCAACCCTGACGCAACCCTGACGCAACCCTGACGCAACCCTGACGCAACCCTGACGCAACCCTGACGCAACCCTGACGCAACCCTGACGCAACCCTGACGCAACCCTGACGCAACCCTGACGCAACCCTGACGCAACCCTGACGCAACCCTGACGCAACCCTGACGCAACCCTGACGCAACCCTGACGCAACCCTGACGCAACCCTGACGCAACCCTGACGCAACCCTGACGCAACCCTGACGCAACCCTGACGCAACCCTGACGCAACCCTGACGCAACCCTGACGCAACCCTGACGCAACCCTGACGCAACCCTGACGCAACCCTGACGCAACCCTGACGCAACCCTGACGCAACCCTGACGCAACCCTGACGCAACCCTGACGCAACCCCTGACGCAACCCTGACGCAACCCTGACGCAACCCTGACGCAACCCTGACGCAACCCTGACGCAACCCTGACGCAACCCTGACGCAACCCTGACGCAACCCTGACGCAACCCTGACGCAACCCTGACGCAACCCTGACGCAACCCTGACGCAACCCTGACGCAACCCTGACGCAACCCTGACGCAACCCTGACGCAACCCTGACGCAACCCTGACGCAACCCTGACGCAACCCTGACGCAACCCTGACGCAACCCTGACGCAACCCTGACGCAACCCTGACGCAACCCTGACGCAACCCTGACGCAACCCTGACGCAACCCTGACGCAACCCTGACGCAACCCTGACGCAACCCTGACGCAACCCTGACGCAACCCTGACGCAACCCTGACGCAACCCTGACGCAACCCTGACGCAACCCTGACGCAACCCTGACGCAACCCTGACGCAACCCTGACGCAACCCTGACGCAACCCTGACGCAACCCTGACGCAACCCTGACGCAACCCTGACGCAACCCTGACGCAACCCTGACGCAACCCTGACGCAACCCTGACGCAACCCTGACGCAACCCTGACGCAACCCTGACGCAACCCTGACGCAACCCTGACGCAACTGACGCCTGACGCAACCCTGACGCAACCCTGACGCAACCCTGACGCAACCCTGACGCAACCCTGACGCAACCCTGACGCAACCCTGACGCAACCCTGACGCAACCCTGACGCAACCCTGACGCAACCCTGACGCAACCCTGACGCAACCCTGACGCAACCCTGACGCAACCCTGACGCAACCCTGACGCAACCCTGACGCAACCCTGACGCAACCCTGACGCAACCCTGACGCAACCCTGACGCAACCCTGACGCAACCCTGACGCAACCCTGACGCAACCCTGACGCAACCCTGACGCAACCCTGACGCAACCCTGACGCAACCCTGACGCAACCCTGACGCAACCCTGACGCAACCCTGACGCAACCCTGACGCAACCCTGACGCAACCCTGACGCAACCCTGACGCAACCCTGACGCAACCCTGACGCAACCCTGACGCAACCCTGACGCAACCCTGACGCAACCCTGACGCAACCCTGACGCAACCCTGACGCAACCCTGACGCAACCCTGACGCAACCCTGACGCAACCCTGACGCAACCCTGACGCAACCCTGACGCAACCCTGACGCAACCCTGACGCAACCCTGACGCAACCCTGACGCAACCCTGACGCAACCCTGACGCAACCCTGACGCAACCCTGACGCAACCCTGACGCAACCCTGACGCAACCCTGACGCAACCCTGACGCAACCCTGACGCAACCCTGACGCAACCCTGACGCAACCCTGACGCAACCCTGACGCAACCCTGACGCAACCCTGACGCAACCCTGACGCAACCCTGACGCAACCCTGACGCAACCCTGACGCAACCCTGACGCAACCCTGACGCAACCCTGACGCAACCCTGACGCAACCCTGACGCAACCCTGACGCAACCCTGACGCAACCCTGACGCAACCCTGACGCAACCCTGACGCAACCCTGACGCAACCCTGACGCAACCCTGACGCAACCCTGACGCAACCCTGACGCAACCCTGACGCAACCCTGACGCAACCCTGACGCAACCCTGACGCAACCCTGACGCAACCCTGACGCAACCCTGACGCAACCCTGACGCAACCCTGACGCAACCCTGACGCAACCCTGACGCAACCCTGACGCAACCCTGACGCAACCCTGACGCAACCCTGACGCAACCCTGACGCAACCCTGACGCAACCCTGACGCAACCCTGACGCAACCCTGACGCAACCCTGACGCAACCCTGACGCAACCCTGACGCAACCCTGACGCAACCCTGACGCAACCCTGACGCAACCCTGACGCCCTGACGCAACCCTGACGCAACCCTGACGCAACCCTGACGCAACCCTGACGCAACCCTGACGCAACCCTGACGCAACCCTGACGCAACCCTGACGCAACCCTGACGCAACCCTGACGCAACCCTGACGCAACCCTGACGCAACCCTGACGCAACCCTGACGCAACCCTGACGCAACCCTGACGCAACCCTGACGCAACCCTGACGCAACCCTGACGCAACCCTGACGCAACCCTGACGCAACCCTGACGCAACCCTGAC